GAGGGAGGTTTTGGTAAGGGGCAACAATAATCAACCACAATGTATATCGACAAAATAAAAAAATAAATAAATAAAAATAACCTGTCCTGTGCTCCATCCTTAAGGAATACTCTGTGGTAGGCTACAGCTATATTAGACTTGCTGGAACATGACACTCTCAAAAGAACTGGTGTGTTCAGATCTTCTGTGTAGGGCTGTGATTTATAACTTAAACTCTCGCATTCTGAGGTACAAATTAAATTCAACCAAACTTGGGTCTATTGAATGAGAAACAGTGGGGGAGGGAATAATCTTGTTTCCTTTAGTAGTTTCTTTATTTGGATAGTGCTTTCTCTGTGTTCCACATTAAGGGCTTTTTTGCTTTGAGGTGGAATAAGTTCTTTGACAGAGCACATACCTGAAATATGCATTAGAATTGTGAAATGTGTTGTGAATTTGTCAATCCCTACAGTGGAACCAAATAGCCTTTTTTTGTTTTGGCTGGCCAGTATAGGACTCAAACCCTGGGCCTTGGTGTTATCAGCACCATGCTCTAACTAAACGTGCTAACCGGCCAGCTCCCAAATAGCCTTTGATGTAAAGGGCAGTGGACATGCCGGAGACTACATCAGGAGCTGCTAAAGCCTCCTCTAATCAGGTCTAAAATGTACAGTAAACTGCATTGGAAAGAGTATGGTTTCTGCTCAGGCAAAGGGATTCTCTGACCTGTCCTTATAAATTTAAAAGCAATGTAAGCAAAACCTCATCTAAAACCCACTTAAGTTTATGGCTCTTGCATGATCTCTGATAAAAATTCATTACAAACTTGTGCCCTAAATTTTAAGGTATTGGGTGTTCTATAGATGCAGTGGTTGTCCCAGCTAGCTCTATTATCAACCTTTTGGTATGTCTTTATGTTGTTCTTTTGCAGAGTCAGGGCGAAAGACAGGTGATATAGCACTTCTGTTTTTAATAATTACAGCTTAAGCTATCCAGTAGTTTTTAGTCTTTAAAAGGGACATGAAGAAGTTACCCAAGAATACTGAAAAGTATCTTTTCACCAAATGAGATGGTCTGGCAATTTCCTAGTTTTGTGTCTGTGGTTCAGTAGAAATATTTCAAGGTGGTATGTGATCACTTGGGGCAGAGTCTGGGTTTCTCTGTAATGAATAATGAGATGGTCTGGCAATTTCCTAGTTTTGTGTCTGTGGTTCAATAGAAATATTTCAAGGTGGTATGTGATCACTTGGGGCAGAGTCTGGGTTTCTCTGTAATGAATCCCTTTGCCAAATGCAGGAGGTTCAGACTTGCTACTGGCTAAATTGAAGCAGATGGGTGAGTAAAGCTATCCTGATGTGGGAGCACTTTCCTGTAGGAATTCAGTCTTGATGGAAGTGTCAGTGCAGGAATTAGACTCCTAAGAGGGTTACAGTATTCTCCTGACAGGACCTGCCAACCACTTCTGGGCAATAACGTTGGCATTATTTGAGATGGCAGGCAGTTGGCCTTCCTTCTGATACATTTGGGTGAGTAACTGAGCCAGCCATGGGGAAGTGGGATGATTAAATGAGAAACAAATGGATTCTTGGTTAAACAGAAGACTTCATTTGGGAACCAAAAATCTTAACAAATCATCTCTTGGACTTTGAACTACATATATTCCCTGAAAAGTATGCATTTTTTTTCCAGCAAGATTTTATTGGGTGTTACATTATTGAGGAATGAACTAAGATGCATACGTGGAGGTGTTATTTAATGGCATACTGTACTAGAAATCTGAAGACCTGCAGCAGATTTAAATTCTAGCACTTGTTATGACTTTTTAAAAGACTGTGAAATTGTCAAAATGCACATGAATCAAGTTTTAATATACAATATGGGTGAATAAGACTGTCCATTGTACCATTTCTTTGAATTCTCAAGCATGTTTTGGCAGTGCAAGAACTCTAACATTAACAAATTCAATAAAAAGTAAATATATGGGGGAAAAAGAAGAGCCTACATGGCTCGCAACTGCCTCGTGAGTAAAGTAGAATTCTATAGGATGGCATCAAGATCCTTCATAATCAATTACCCTTTTCTAACCTCATCTCATTATATCTCATTCTTACACCTTAATCTGTGTACCAGTGTCTTCAAAACTTGAGTAATTTATGGGTCCTTTTGAAAGAGAAAAAAATTTCTCAATGGCTCTCAAGTTGACATTCAAGGACTCCAGTTTGAAAAACTCTAATTTAAGAAATTGACATCCTGGTCAATGAAAACATCTTTTATTGTATTTTACTGGTAAAATAATTTTTAATATTATAACCAAAATGAAAATAAAATTTTTAAATCTTCATATACCTTGTACCCCCTGAAAATGAATCCATGGACCTCAGTTACAGAAATACTGCTGTACACAAGTGAAACTACCTACTCACCCCAGAAGTGGTCTATGCTTACTTGCCTCCGTGCCTTCACTTCTGTGGTCTGCTCACCCTGGAATACCCTTCCCCTGACTACAGCTACCAAAATTCTACTCATCACTCAATGCCTACTGTAATTACCCTCTCCTCTGTGAACTCTTCTTTTTGATAAACCCTCAGACAAAACTTCTCTCAGTCTCCTGGGGCAATTTTATATCTATTCTATGGCATTAACTACACTATTATATATGTAGCATGTTATACTATTATTTTCTCATGGTTATTATAGCTCCTAGACAGCATGAAGATTAACTTGTTTTTTATTTCCGTAACAATTAGTATAGTGTCTTCCATATGACAATGAATAAATGTCCATTGAGTTAATCATCATGTAGGTTAAAAAAAATAAATGCTTCTATAAATATGATCATCTACTGATCTTCTTAAAAATGAAACTGTTTACTAAAAGCCTTATAAGCAAACATATAATATACTCAAAAGAGAAAAATGTGGGGAAAATTTTAAAGTTATTTATAGGATTTACCTTCTTTTAAGTATTAAGTCTGATATAGGTACACATCTTAGACCAGTTCCCAACACCATAAGGAAGGATGTCAGAAGCACAGTTACCCGAAGACCTAAAAAGAAACAAAAACATTTATCTTATTTTCTACTTTCTCTTAAGTAAGTCCAATGTTAAGAATAATTTTTTTTAACTAAATCATACTATTATATTCTAATATTATGGCTTTTCTCTATAACTCCCAACATAAAAAAAAACCCCAAAAAACCAACCAAACCTACATGCTGAAAATGAAATTATTCTAACTTTAATAGAAAACTGGAATGATCGTATCAAGGATGAGGAAGAAGTTCTGTTAGCTCTAATTTTTCACAATGGACATCTAGACTGTTTTTTGTTCAGATATAATACTAAAAAATATAGAAAATGATTTTAAAAGACTAGGTATTTTAGTTTTATATCTCTAACATAAAAATTCTAATTTTCAAATGCAAGCTGCTAATTAAAAAACTCTAAACTGTCCCTAAAAAGTATAGTAAGGTGACAGATTATTGCTTTAAGTTTTCTCAAAAATGACAACTGGCCAACTACACATTTTATCTTGAAATCAGGACAAGATAATACTTGTTACAGGCTCATGGGAAATGGCCCTTTAGGACTCTCTGAATATTAATACAATAATGGTCCTTTTTTTTTTTTTTTTGTCTTTTTCATGACCGGTAAGGGGATCGCAACCCTTGGCTTGGTGTCACCCACACTGCGCTCAGCCAGTGAGCGCACTGGCCATTCCTATATAGGATCCGAACCCGCGGCGGGAGTGGGTTCTCCCGAGTGCGCCACGGGCTCGGCCCACAATAATGGTCTTTTAATTTTCCTTGATTTATCCAATGGTTTTCACAACTTATAGAATGATGCTGTTTAAAAAAAAAGAAAGAAAGAAAAAGCATTGCTCAGAACTTTAGAAGATAATGTGGATCAGACAGCTTTTTATTTTGTATTCCAAATATGATCAATTATTTTGAAAATGTGTGCCAGTGGTCAGTCACATGGATAAAAGGGCAAAAGAAAGTATAAGAGTACGAAAATAAAAATATACAAACAAGGTAAACAGAAATGGACACAATATTCTAGCTATGGCAGAAAAATATAGTGGAACTATATCTTCCTATTGCTGGAATGCTACACTTCTGTTAATACTAAACTAATATTATCTTACTGTTTGTGAGATCCCACACGTGGCTTATATTGTCTATGGCAAAGGTGGCCACATTCCTTCAAATTTCTCCCAAATCCAACATTACCTTGAAACCATTTCACACAGAGAATAGACTTACACTGATTAACACAATTTTTCCTTTTTTCTAGGGTTTTCTTTCTTTTTGCAGAGGGTAGATGGTTAAATGTTTGGATTTCTTTTTTTGTTTTTTTTTTGTTTTTAATTTTACTTTATCAGTATACAGTAAGTTGATTTTTGTGTCCCTTTAGCAATGTCTCCTTTCACCCCTCCCTCTTCCCCCCTCCCCCCATCAACATCATATAATGTTCGGATTTCAAAGGGCTTCTCTGCTTGAAAGAAACTGAAAGTCAACAAAACTATAATTATGCAGATCAGACACAGCAAGGAAATAAACGAGATCCAGATCAGGCATGCACATGCTACACTGAGGATAACTTGTGATATGAACTGAGTTAACTTTATAATATTCTTATATAATCTGAGTATGATTAATACAATTTGGCAGAAGAAATACCATAGAGAATTGTGCTTCTAACAAGTAATGTGTACATATTGTTCATATACAGCTTCTACTAACAGAACAGATTTTAAAACTACATTATAGCCACAGGAAATAGAGTGCCATTAATGAAAAGTACATACACAGTCATACATATCCTAAAATTGATAAAACATTGTTCTTATAAGGTTATACTGGGTACCCTATGAGATATTGAATAGAATTTTATAGATGTGGGACTATAAGGCTTACGCTCTACATGACGTTTATTTTTTTCTAAAGATTTTGTTTGTAATTAAGGTAAGCAGCCACAAAGCGAGCATTAGGGCATTCGTATGGCCCATATGGTCCCACTAACCAGGCTTCCTATTGTAACTGCTGAAAGCTAGCACACTTTTCTAGTCAATTATGCTTTTTATCAAATATATGACAATATAACAGCTAATATAAACTTCTAAGAATGAAGAAGTTGTAAAAAGCTGCATTAAAGCAACCTCACAGTTACAACTGTTGGCTTTCCTGCACATTTTTAATAGTTTCCAAGTACTGCTTAATCCATTCCAGTTGACAATCAATCTTGAAGAGAATGCTTTCATCATGTCACTCATATTTGACAAGGCATGACTCTATAACTCCATGTAATCAAAAAGCTATCAACTCACCCAGGGAGGAGAGGTATAAGGACCCCAGAAAAATAGGCTTATGACACATGTAGGACATTTATAGAAATAGACCCCAAGGCATTACAGTACTAGGATATGAATGCAAAAACCATCTCCGTCAGAAAAACAAATAAAATTAATTTCTGTTCAAACATGGCATCCAGACACTGCAGGAAGCTTCCTTTCAATGGATGAGATAACTCCTTTGCCAGGTACCCATTGGGTACAGGAATGGAAGTCTCCACAACAGGCGCCTAAAGAATCAGGATGTGTGTGTGTCATACACACCCACCCACAACAGAAGAGTGGAAAATAAGCTACAGGCATACAGTTCATCTGGTAAGACCATTCTTCCCCAGGCTCCACACTTCTATCAGTCAGAGTGAAGACAAGCTCTGTTTACTCCTGGAAAGACCTCCTTCTCCCTACGCACTATAGCTTTGACACCCCAATCCACCTTGGAGACTATCAGGACTAAACCCATCATGCCTGCTTTTCCTGTTTACATCAGACACGAGAGATTCGAGATTCACAGTTTATCTTTATCCCAGTATTGCTTCATTGCATCCCCCAATCTAACTTCATCTCTGCCACCACCCCAACTTCTGAAACCTTCCCACTATGCCTCCTGGAGCATTCAGTTCCAATCAGTGGAATCCCTACATTCTCAAGCTCTTCCAACCAACTCTCCACTTTCTTACTGTCACTGAAACCTCTCACCTGAGTGGCACTGCTCCCCTGCCACTTCCAGATCATTGTTATTCTCTTTGCCCTGAGCTCCTCAGTCTTTTTCTGTCTATACTTTTAAGATTTTCTCTTTACCACTGGTTTTAAGCAATACTATTGTGGTATCCTTTGGTGTCATTTTCATCATGTTTCTTCTGCTGAGAGTCTTGAATTTCTTATATTTGTTGGTTTATAGATATCAAATTTGGAAATTTTTCTGTTATCACATATCCTTTGGTGTCATTTTCATCATGTTTCTTCTGCTGAGATTCTTGAATTTCTTATATTTGTTGGTTTATAGATATCAAATTTGGAAATTTTTCTGTTATCACTTCTTTGATATATATATATATTTTTTTGCACTACCCCATCTCACTCCATGCCCTCCCCCCTTACCTTACTCTTCTCCTTCTGAGACTCCAATTACATGTATATTATGCCACTTAAAATTGTCCCACAGCTCACTGATATTCATGGTTTTTTTGTTTGTTTGTTTTTACTCTTTATTTCTGTGTTCCATTAGGGATATTTTCTATTGCTCACTCTTCTCCTTCTGAGACTCCAATTACATGTATATTATGCCACTTAAAATTGTCCCACAGCTCACTGATATTCATGGTTTTTTGTTTGTTTGTTTTTACTCTTTATTTCTGTGTTCCATTAGGGATATTTTCTATTGCTATGTCTTCCAGTTCACATTGATCTTTTCTTCTGTAATGTCTAATGGCTATGAAATCATGTCCATATATTTTTTTCATCTCAGACACTAATTACATTTTTCATCTCTACAAGTTCAATGTTGGTTCATGTTTTCTTTGTCTCTCCTTAACATGCTCATGCTTTCTTCTATCTTTTTCAACATATGTAGTATGTTTGCAGAGGTTTTTCCATTCAAGCTGTTGGGAATGTGAACTATTCCCAGCCTTGTGTGAACTTTGAGAATTATTCTTACTGCTCCTTTTTGGTGGTCCTTTTTCCAGTCCTGGGTAATTTCCTAACATGTATCTGCTGATCAATGCTCAGCTGAAAACTGAAAAGGAACTCTCTCTGTGAAGCTTGCTCCTCTCTGGTACTCTGCCCTAAGCATTCTAGCTAGCTATGTTGGCCTCTCTGAATTCTCACCTCTGTCTCCTCAACTCAGGAAAACTGCTGGGCTCTGTTTGGGCTCACATATCTGTGCTGCTGCCTAGAATATTCTCTCCAGGCAGTAAACTGAAGCAATCACTGTCTTGCCCTGCCTGTTGTCTAATGTCTGAAAACCATTGTTTCATATATTTTGTTTTGTTTTTCAAATTTATTTAGTTTCATATATTTTGATTTTCTGTTTTTTGTTTTTAGTTGTGTAAGATGGAAGGATAAATCCAGTTCATGTTACTCCATCATGGCCAGTCTGGTATAATTTTCTCTGACTGTAATACCTACCTCTCTTTGCTGCAGCTGTCTGCAAACCACCATATGCCTGCCTCCAGGTCTTTCACCCTCACTGATTAAAGATGTCTTGGCTCATTATTACTCCTTTGGACATTACTCCTTTTATAAACCTGGTGATTTCAATATCCATATGATGACCTTTTCGATATCCTGGCCTTTCAGTTCCCTGACCTCTTATTCCATGGTGTCCTTTACCTTACTTCAGCCATCCACTTTCTTGGTTATACTGTAACCTTATCTTTACCATAATTGCATCTATGTCATAATTTCAATTTCCAGCATCCTCCATTCCCCAACTATGACCTCCTCTCTTTCCCACTCACTCCCTATAGTACTCTAACAACAACAAATTCTTGATCCAATAAAGAATGACAGTTTTGGAGCCTACTACTTCTTCTCATCCACCCCATGTGTTTCCTTTTCTCCTTTACTCAGCTTAGAGTCCATGTCCAATGTTTTATTGTTCTCTACATAACTTTCCACTCTTGGCCTGCCCTTTGTCAGTCCTATTCACCTAGCAAAACTGCAATTCTGGTTAAATCTCTCTCTCTGCCAACTCT